ATTACCCTTAACTTCAGCTTCTCCATATCTTTTGTCCCTCCATCTCTTCCCTGATTTCAGACCATCCTTATGTTCGCCACTGCCAGTTTCTACGTTATCATTTACTATTGCTCCTCATACTTTTGGGGCCTGCATGAAAGCACGGCCAATTACCCTGGTGGTGTAATTGTTGCACAGATATAAAGGAAATGATGATGCTGGTGGGGGAACATGTGGTGGCTTGTGTTGCGTTGACAGGGAAGAGGAACTTGGCTGACCTCTGCTGGGCTCTGACAGGCAGTGTTGCAGATGTTCATCACAGTTAATGATTTAGGATGTATATTCTTCCTCTGGTTTTTATTAGCCGCATAATGGCTTTAGGGATCAATGCTGCATCCTTGACCAGCATCAGTTCAGCCGCTGTAACTACAAGTCATTAGTGTGGTAAAACATATGGCTTTTTAAATATTCTCACATTACAGACCCCTATGTAAAGGCAAAAAAGTGCATGTTTTCTGATTGGGGATTTCGCACCCCATCATTGACCGCACACGTAAGAAAGAGTGCAGACTTAACTGAGAAGGGAAAAGAAGAATGATGGAGGGAGGGAGAGCACGCAGAGTGAGCGAGCGAGCGGGAGAGATCGAGGGAAGCAGATGGCTGGCAATATAGCCTGCTAAATTATTCATCCAGGCTGGAGTCTGGAGATAGATGGATGGGAGCTGGCATGGACACTTTTATTAGGATTCCAAGAGCTGCGATGAGAGTGGTTCTAAACACCGTGATTGCCTTCTGAGACCGAGAAAAGTAATTGCATCAGGTCTGGGAAAAGCCATTTGCTGCGGGAATGAAATCTCCTGTATTAAATGCAAATGAAATCAGGAAAGATATACAGAACTTGTGAAGCATAACAATATGTTTTAGCTGGGGTAATTTATGTATGAAGGGTAATGTTTGTGAGTGCAACAAGGAAAAATAAATAAGAAGAATCTTATACAAATGTCTTTAAAGGTTCCCTGTTATGATACTTTTCAGGTTCATATTTGTATGTAGTGTCTCTACTGGGACATGTCTCCACGCTATAATGTTCAAAAAGCTCTTTATTTTTCTCATACTGCCTGTGCTGCAGCACCTCTTTTCACCCTCTGTCTGAAACCAGAGCCCAGTCTGCTCTGATTGGTTACCTGGCCGGCTCTGTCGTGATTAGTGTCTGGGAGGGAAACTCTTTGAGATGTTAGCCTTTGCAGACCGTTTACATGCACACAAACCTATATAAGAGCCTACAGGAAAGGGAAAACCCAGAAAAAGAATGAAGGAACACCTCTAGCGTTCTCCATATGAGGGGATCCAGGGGGCTGCGTGTTGTCTGAAGATTGTCCCGGCTGCCCTCGACAGTTTGAAGTTCACAACAAGTTGTCTCAACAGTGACAGGGAATACAAATGAAAAATGGCCTGGAGGGGAAACAGCCTGGTTCGTAAAATAAGATTTGTGTTGCAGAAAAGAGTCCTTGGCTAGGTTTAGGGTTGTCCCCACTTACTGAGGAACAAATTAAGTTCTACACGTCCTCCCTTTTTAGAGGATATCAAATTGGACTGATCCAATTAATCACAAATATCAACCATATCAATCCTTTATTTGCCTAAATACAGGTGTGGTTTATTTCCCCTCAGTTTAACATATAAAGACGGTAAATATGCTTTCTCCGTTCTATTTGTCCTCTTCTCAAATAAAATAAAATGTATATGTAAACTCAATATCACAAATTCAGAATGTGCCTCTTTGACAATCTGTAAAGCATATGACGCCGCCTGTCCTGAGACCCTTGCAGCGGATAGGGAAACATGTGCATGTTATATTATTCTACCAGATTCAAAGACTCACAGAGATGCGCACGCACACTCCTGAGCAGAGGGCTGCGGGGAAATAGAGCAGAGAGGAAGCTGCGTTCCTTCGCCAAAGCACGGCTGTCTGGTGTCATGGCAACCGGTGCAGATTACCCCATCCTCCATCAGACAGGGAGAGGAGAGAGGGATGGGCCCACACGTGCACATCACACACACACATGCACATATGGGAATGCATGTTGCACAACATCTAAATTCCCCTTATAGTGTTGACATGTTATTATTTCAATGTATGCTTTTCTACATTAGTGATGTTGTCATCAGTAAAAAAAACATGAATCAATGAGACGGTGGGTGTAAAAGGTAGCGAGGAAAAAAAACAAAGAGGGCGGGATCTTGAAAGGCGAGCGGTGAAGAGAGTGGTGCAGCGAGAGGTTGAGATGTGTGGAGGGGCCATAAACATATAGTAGAGCTAAATACGTCTGGGGGATATACTGTTATTAAAAGCAGTAAGGTTATCCAACAGGCCGCTTTACTGTGGGGGCGGACGCTTTGATACCGGCTAACGCATTTCAGGCCGCCAGAGTCCTATTGAAGGCAATTTAGCAGGAGATATTCTGCTTTAAGTGTGTGTGTATGTGTAGGTTAGTGCTGCAGCCTGGGAGGAGGGGGGTGGGGAGAGGAGGGATGCTGGAGCAGGATGATGGCAGAGGCAGTGAGACATGACAGCAAGAGAGGAGAGGGTGGGGGGGGAGAGGATAATTTTAGAGTCTGCATGAGGGTAGCTGGAGATTTTTGTAGCAAAAAGAGAGAAAGGGTGCAGAGGAGATAAATGGCACAAGCGTGAGGAGAAGGGAAGGGGCGGGAGACAGAAAAGGAGCAGTGGGAGGGGGGGAGGGAGTCGAGGCCGTTTGAGGATAACGCCTCCCAAATTGACTGCGGCACAGCCATCGTCCACAGTTACATCACAGCTGAGCTCAAACTCGGGATGAACCCGTCTCCCTCGCTGTCTCTTTGTGTCTGTGTTTATGCCAACCTTAAAAACGCCTCAAAGCTGACATTTGACCGTCCGGCGCCAAAGAAAAGTAGTCTGAGCGTGTGCCATGGGATGTATCATGTTTTAAAGACGTACGGGCTCCGACTAAAATTCTGAACAGACGGTTTTTTTTTTTTCCTTTGTCTTTGTGCCGCAGTCATCATCGGCGGCAGCAACACGGTTGTAATCAGCCTCATTAAGACTCTTGTACACATTGTAAATCGTAAACAAGGCTCCAGACTAATTTTAGAAGTCTGCACAGAAGCCTGTGACTAAAAATCTATTTGCCATAATCATTATAATCAACTTCTGCACACAATGTAACTCTGCTCTAAGAAAGACATATCCACTCAGTGCTGGCCGGCCTGTGACTCTCAGAAGATTAATATTAATGATATTTTTTTGCTTTATTAATGCACTGAAAAGTGCATTGGTCTTTTCCAGCATCATGCTTCAATCTCATAGCTGCACACACACACACACACACACACACACACACACACACACACACACACACACACACACACACACACACACACACACACACACACACACACACACACACACACACACACACACACACACACACACACACTCAGGCCAACCCTGTCTCCTCAACATTACGTTCCCACAGAACTACACTGCATTCTCAATAACGTTTAGCTAGAGAGTATGTGGGAACGTAATGTTGAGGAGACAGGGTTGCTCGGGCAGTAGATCCACATATCATCAATAAGTCCTAAACACAGAAATGAGTTAGCATTTTAGCTCTTCTGGGCTTTGGAATACTTTTCGATGAAATACCTGAAATAAGGTCTGTGGTCAATACAAAGTTACGAGATTTTCACATTTTGTTCAACGACAGAAAAATATGTCAGTAATATCCCACTGGTAAGTGTCAGAAGCTTCCAAGTGTCATTGAAGTGGCTGAATGAGACTTGTAAATGTTGTCACAACGAACATTACCCGCCGCAGCTTAGCGGTCTTTAGCTATTACCATACTTCTGTGGAGAATATATACTCTTCAACTAGCATACCAGTGGAGATGTGTCTGCACAGAGGAGCTCTCGGTATTTAGAAATCAATTTGCATCATTGCCATAATAAGTTATAAATCATGTTTGTACGTTCTGTGGTTAACACAAGCTAACGACAAAACGTCTGAAGCTTCTATATGTCGTGGCTAAATGAGACTATTATCAGTCATCACGCCGAACACCAGTCTGCCTTTAGCTTAATGGAAGTCAATGTTAGCTTGCTAATGCATTTACACTTCAACAATCATAAAAGTGGTGTTATTATGTGGAGATTATTGTGCCGAACAAATAAACGTGTGCTTGACACAAATCTTATCTTCTGCAATATGCCAAAATCCAATAATAAAAAAAACCCAATTGGCTATTTGTCGGCGGGAACTGTTGCCCGTGATGCTAACTTATATGTTGGCCAAAAAGAGCAGGTCCTCGCTGCACCACTCAATACATCGTTATATGGAATGGTGCTGATTCACCTTCCTCTCCCATATTTGTTATTTTAAAATATATTATTTTATGCCAATTTGTTTTAGGCACTAAAAAGGAACAGACATCAACTAAACGTGAACATATTTGACACTGAATTCTCAAACAAAGTAAATTGGATTAGAATCACAGACGCCGCCTTGTATCTATAATTAGCTGCACCTGTGTTAAAGGTTGAGGTTATTTGACGCCTTCAAAAGGGCCCTCAAGTCCCATCTGTTTGCCAAGGCTTTTGGCCCCTAAATCGATCTGTTGTTTTTGCCCTATTACTTGTAAAGCGACCTTGGGTCCCTTGAAAGGCGCTATATAAATCCAAGCTATTATTATTATTATTATTATTGAGCATTCCATCATGGTTTTACCATTAAACCAAAACCTACTATCATTTGACGCATGAACATCTGCAAGGAGAAGAAAAAGGGAATAAACCACCTTTTGTCTTTTTTACTCATGCAGGTCAGATTGACACAAATGTTTTTTACATTATCCAATGTAGGAACATTGCGATGGTTTGTACTTAAATGGATGAAGTTAAATAATTTGATAGTAACCAGCTTCCCAGTTGGCTTAGTGTCTCTAACTATATAGATATTAACCTGGCTTTTCTCTTCTTCCCCTCAGGAGCTGCTGGAAAGCAGACTGGAAACTACTACAGATGAAACCTGGCAGTGATTTGTAAGTACTGGTGTTATAAACTTTGTATATTTAAGTAGATGAAAGCAAATGTGTATAAGACCAACATGCCCATGCTAAAACTCATGTGAAACGAGTCATATATGACAGGGAAATCTATTTAAAAATGAATAGCCATACAGGCAAATCAGTTGAATATATATATTTTTAAATCTTGTATTTGCAAAACACTTTATCTTCTTGATGCAGGGGACATTTTAACACTGCTATTACTGAAGAGTGTTGAACATGTATTCCCGTGTCCTCTCCATCCCACTTTCTGTGGGATGCAGCTGTTAGCGTTGTGTGGTCATCACCCTATAAATACAGCAGCTGGCTGATGGACCCTGCAGCAGCTGAGGTCTGCCTCATATACCTTTGGACACATAATGTACACACAGATACAAATGTGCACAAATACACACACACTATTTATTGTTGTTGTAAAATAATCTCCAACACTCTTTCTACTTGGAGAGTCAACATAAGTACATTAGCATCGTTTCCCTTCTCTTTTCTGTACAGAATTCCTGAAATGCAGTCTAAATACAATCACAGTACATCCCTGGCTATAATGGCCAGATTCAAGATTCAAGGCTTCTATTGTCATTTATACATAGCTACAGTGTAGCTATGTCGATGAAAAATCTTAGGTCCTAGGCTCCTCCAACAGTGCAACACAATAAAACAGATACAATAGTAAGTAAATACAATAAAATAGAATAGAATAGTAGTGCCATAAGAGTCTATATACAAGTGATACATCATTTGTAAGTTACAAACAGATGAATATTATGGATGTTCTTAGTTCAGGTGTTTAACAGTCTTCTGGCCTGTGGGATGAAGCTGTCCCTGAGTCTGGTGGTTTTAGTCCGGATGCTGCCGTACCGCCTGCCAGAAGGCGTTATGAATTATGGGACCATTCAGTCTACTGCGATTGGGAAGATCAATGACTCATTTATATAATAGCCAGTGCTCATTTAGAATAATGCTCTTTTATTTTACTATTTCTTTATTGTAAAAAACATCATGCTGTTGCTATGGAGAAAAGTAATGAAAAAAAAGTTTTACTGCAAGGAATTCTTGAGAACAAACCGTTAAACATAATTAAAAGTATGACACAGTTGATATTACCGAAATCAAGCATGAGATATTACTCTTATAAAAAATAGCATACCATCCAAATATACCTGTGATGCCCTCAATGGTTACATTACTATTTTCAAACCACTCATGTTGACGTATGTTTTGTCTATATATCGTTTATTTATCACATACTTATTGGTGTTAACCCATCACCAAGTGACCCTTAGCTACGGTGGCCGACAGGTGCAAACGCGCTACAACGGCCCAAAACACTTCCATCAGGAGAAACGCGCTGCAGCTTCAGAAACGATGCTAATATAAAAACACATACGATCCAAAACACATCACAGAAGAAATACATTTACCTTGACAACAGATGCGCAGCATTTAGAAAAACATTCACCAACTTGACGAAACATAAACAGAGTTTACTAAAAGCACGAACGAAACACAGCAAATACAAAACTCAATTACAACGGAATTGGGGACACTACAAAGTGATAAACACAACTGGGACTGGAATGCTTGTTGATGCTCAGGATTATAAAGGTCGCCAACTGTGAACTTGTTGAAGTGTTAACTGTAAACTAGTTAACTCCTAGTGACCATAAGCATAGCACACATTATCAATGAAATTAACCGAGACTATCTTGGTCGCCATTTTACATCAAACGGCACAAAACAACTTTTTCAGTGACAAATAATGTAATCTGCAATCTTACATAAGGATATAAATAAATAGTAATACTAGAAACTAATAGTATGGTAAAAGAATATTAATATCAACATTTTGAATAAAAATAGATGTGGACAGAAAACTCCAATGGGAGCGATTCCCTCCGCTGTCTACCACACCTGACAGCAGAGTGGCAGTGAAACAATGGCGCGGATGTTGAGGATCCCACATGTATCCTCCCTATTCAGCCCTGCAGCAGCTGCACGGACATAAGGAGAGGCATCATTACAGCAGACCAGGCCGGTTAATAGGCCCGCGACGTGGGGGGCCAGCCAGCTCTGCATGGGGCTCACGAAAGGGGAGAGGAGAGAGAGGTCAGGGGTTAGGGAGGAGGACAAGATGTGGGAGAAGTGTTCGAGACAGGAGGAGCAGGGTGGGGAGGGAGAAGGAGTGAAAAGGAGTTGCCGTATAGGCTGTATTTTTTATCTTTCCTGAATGAAAAAGTATGAAAGGATCTGGGATTGCATGCCAATTCCTGCTGCTATTTGGCTGACACCCAGCAAACACTTGATGAATAGATGTTGATATATTGGCTGCCACGTTGAAAAGCTGCATAGGTATGTTAAAATGAGAGATGGGATATCTGCATCCATCCATAGATTATTTTCTCAATGAAAATATTAACCTGAACTTGATATTTTCCTAATACATAGTATAAAACTACGTTAACAACGGGTCACTTCTTGGGATGAACCTACAGGAAATGATCCGAACTATTTGATGGATCTGCGGCCTTCTTGTGTCTCGACTATAGGCTATTTTTATTATATGTACAGCACTTTGGCTCGACCATAAATCGTTTATAAATGTGCTATATAAATAAAACTTGATTTGATTCTTAAGCTTTAATTAGTTTAAAAGTGAGTTTAGCTCAACTTACTATTTTGGTTCCCTCTCACCAATCTCATGGCGTTCTTTCATTGGCGAGAGGCAGCTGTTATTTAAAATAACAGAATATGCTAGTTTTCAGGTTCATATCTCTCTCATGTTTACATTGTTTTAATGTTCAAAAAGTGTGTTATTCTTCTCATGCTGGCTCTGCTGCAGTACCTCTGTTCACCCTCTGTCTGAAACCAGAGCCCAGTCTGCTCTGGTTGGTAAGCTGGGGAGAGGGGTCAGACCTCCACTCTCAGGACACCTCCACTGTCAGTACAGGAAGTGATGATTCTGACGTGTGCTAGCTAATAGTGATGCTAATGATAGCTAATTCCTAATAGTAGTATGTGTGTCGTTTGTACAGTGCTACTTACGTATATGTTATGTAAAGCCTGCATACTTATGTGTTTTATTTCTGTATTGTTACAGTTTTACAAAGTAAAAGAAGAACAGTAAAGTCAAGAAAGAAAACCTTGCATCTTTATTGGAGGACTTTTAAATGTTAGCTAACTGTCTAGCTACGCATAGGGATACGCGCTGTAAGGGCAGAACAGTTCAATCAATCTAAGTGATGAAAAGTGATACTGTACTGATATTAACTTAAATACAAGGTGTCCCTATATATATATATATATATATATATTAGGGCCGGGACTCGATTAAAAAAAATAATCTAATTAATTAGAGGCTTTGTAATTAATTAATCGAAATTAATCGCATTTTTAAATCACATAAATATTTGACCTGAGAACAGTGAGAAGCAATTTTTTTCACATGGATTTTAGTATACCATTAGGCGCATTCACACCGCAGTACTTTTCCCACAAAGGTTCATGAGAATTTAGTTCATGAGAACTCTTGGAACCTGGGGGTGGATTAGGCAAATGAAGCCGCTGACGTCACTTCTTCTTCTTCTGTTTTGGGTTTACTGGCAGGCCGCAAACCACTTCACGGCGTATACTGCCGCCCAAAGTCCCCGGCCGGAAGTCCCCGGAGTTGGGGACTGGCTTCAGTAGAAGCTGCTGGGAGTCCCAGCAGCTTCTACTGAAGCCTTCCGAGTAAATCGCCAGAACGCCGACACCTCCTCATCTCCACCGCTCCCATGTTTTATTTTGTGTTGCCATAAGTTAGTCTCTCTGCGTTTCTGCGCTGGGCTAATGCTAATAATGCTAATAAAATGGCGGCTTCACAAAACTTTTGGGAGTTTTACGGGGCATGGTTTGCAATCCGCCCAGCCAATCAGACATATAGCTCTTTTCTCACAAGAGAGCCGTACGAAAGTCCCTGCTCTCTAGCAGCTCTCTGCTATCTAGCAGGGACTTTCGTGGGGGTAAAAAGGTTCTCATGAACTAATTTTAGTACCGGCTCTTTTTGGTGTGAACGCGATAAAAGAGGCTAACGTCACGCTAGCTTCCACGCTAGCTGCTATATGTTTTGCATTGAGGTGATACTTGAGGCTTGATGTGCTGCGGTGATATGCGAATTCCTTTTTGCATCATTTGCACACAACCGTGCTCTTATCGACGCTTCCATCCGTCCGTTTTTTAAAACAACATTTCCCACTGTTGTTCACTGTGGTTTGTTGTTGTCTGAAGTCATGAACGTTAGTTGGTGCTCCAGTATAATCGGTACGCCTGAAACTCATCCAGTGAGAAACGTTCCGCGGTGCAAAAATAAGTGCGATTAAAATGCGTTAATTTTTTTAACGCGTTAATTTTTGTGTAATTAATTAATCTTAATTAACGCGTTAAAGTCCCGGCCCTAATATATATATATATATATATACATATACATATACATATACACGCGGCGGAGGTTCCAGCTGGGAACCTCCACCCCGCTGCGGGACCCCTGGACGGTGCGTCTTGGTCACGCTTCATATCAGCCGGCCTGGAAAGGAAGAGACACGCAGAGTGGGGGAAGTCCCCCACCCCGCAGCACACCCTCCCGGCCATCAGAGTCGAACCCGCAGTTCGGAGGAACCGACTGCCAGAGCACCGGCACTAGGCCGGGCCGGCGCGGAGGCCCTCCGACAGTGGGTCGCGTTTGCCATTCGATCAGTGAGAGGAGAGGAGAAAAATGCAACAAAAATGGTCAAAATCCGTTAATATATGGATGAGTGGGGGAGGGGGGGTGGGTGAAATAGCCAAACAAATTATAAAACCGGGGAAAATAGGGGGGAAAGTGAAAAAAAGTGTCCGAAAATCCCCTGTCAACTCCCGTTACATTCCTCCATGGTGTCATTTGAGCGAAAAACTTTTACGAGAACCAGGCTGGGGGGGGTCAAAAGGGCTTGACCAAGGCC